TCAGGTGCAGGATACTGGCCATTCTTCTCTATTGTAAGAGTCGGGAGGTCCTGATAATTTATTCCAGCAAATTACTCAGACCTACTAATTAACCGAACCAAAGTTATTGAGTCTATGTAAGTTTGCTGCTTGGCTCAGATCCGCCAACGTCAGCAAGATCTCACGTCTATTAACTCCCTGAAGAACCAGGTTCAATTAACTGCTGTTTCAATTCAGACGACCTGCTAAATCTGTTTAAGCGATCCCGAAGGATTTTGATATCAGTAAATGAGGTGTGGCCCTACCTAAGAGTGAGTGTGGCAGGGTGCAATCTTACCTTTGAAGCAGGAGAGGAGAGCGCAGATGTCTTTAAGTTGTCCCAGTCCAAAAGGTGGGATCAGTTTATTTGAAGAAAAATAGGTCCAAATTTATACAGGGTTTTTACCTTCTCTCGTTACAACATTATAATCATAGTACACATATCATGCTGGGGTTATTTTCTAATCTAAAACCTTAATTTATAGTTCATACATTAAAGTCTTCCGACAAAATCCAAAAGGAATTTCCTCACAGATGGACGTGGTTAACATCCACAGCCTATGGCCTGACACATGTAAGAGGTCAGCTCCTCAGAATTATCAGTTTGAATTCCTAGTTTTAAAAACTTTCATCCAACCATTCACTCAGCATTCAATCCACAGAGATTTAAGCAATAGTTACCAAGTTTGAGAGAACCTTACTGAGAGCAGAAACTCAGCTATCCAGAGAGAGAGCTTTGTCGGGAGAGAGTATACCCCCCCCCCCCCTCTCTCGAGTTTGCTCCCTCTCTGCCAGTGTCTTTATGCTCAACAACAGGATAGAAAAACCTAAGACACCTCTGTTATAGCGGAATGTTTAATACAGCGTATTTCTGATATTTATTAGAGATCACATGCTAAGCTATATGATGTGTGTTACTGAGTTGGGTCACACACAGTTAGAGAGACAATGGTCGTTCTGAGTTATCAATAGATGTATTCATTTTAAGTGAGCTGACACCGAGGGTAGAGGAAGTTCAGAGAAGGCCTCAGGTTATTAAAACAGTTAACCTTTGTTAGTTAACTACTCCTAAGGATGTCTTGAGACGATAACGTTTAAACATATGCAAGTATAGCTTTCAGAGAGATAAACATGTGACATTTGTGTGGTAGGCTGCATGATCAAATGTGTGTGCGTTAAACATGCTTAGGGAAAATGTGTGTGTGCTCATTGCAGTAGCTATATATGCTGTATGATTACTGCTACTGTCGGGGGCATTTCCGCAACTGGCTGCTGTGGCAGCAGGTGATGTACTCCCCATTATTGTTTGTTTGTTTGTTGCAACAACTAAATAATAATTACTGATCAGCTATATCTGTGTTTGTGTTTTATTGATTCCTCTCTGTTTCATTCTTTCCTGTTGTGTGAGTGCTGGATCGCCACAACATTTTGGAGGTCCTACCGAGATTGCCGAAGCTGGAGGTTGCTGTGTTCCTTCTCTGGGGGTCTCATCTGATTATTAGGTCACATGGAATAATCTTGACATAGAAACTAGCTTTATATATCTGACATTTTTAAACATGTTGGCTATTCAATAGATAGACATTTGTTAAGAACATTTCTGAAGATTGAATATTTGTTCCATTTCTAATATTCCTATTTAAAACGTAATTTTAGAGTAACGAAGGCTGATGCTGAACTTGGAAACATGTGTTAGTGATTTGCATTTCGTAAACAAATTGATCAAATTGATTATTGATTAATTTGGAATATTAATTAAAAAGGCCGTTATCCGCAGGTTCACTTAGGAATGCTTGCATGAACATTTGTCAGGCTTTGTGTTTCCTAGGGGCAGTACATCAATACAGTTTATTGATAATTTGTTTGTTTAAAAATCTGAAGAAAATTGTGCTGCGAACACGGAGAAAACTTTGTTGCATTGGTTTGACATCAACACAATGATGTCACTAGAGAACTCCAGCTGGTAGAATATCAAAGTGCACTATAGGACATGAGATCTGGAGACTGACTTAGACTTTGCAAAGACTGAATGAATGTGATTTGATTTGTCCATTTCTGACTGTTACAGTAACACTGACCCACCGACAAGGTGATTTTATTTTGGGATGCACACAATGCTGTTGGCAATAGATTTCTGACTATGCCATATTAGTTTAACGATTGTGAGACATGACGCATGATCCCTGCATGGCTTGATGACTATGTAGCTTGATTTCTAACATTGCTGATTCTTTTTGACAGGAGAAAGTATTTTTTTTCCCCTTTGTTTTAGGTGTTCCTGACGATGAGTCATAGGACTTTGAAATAACATTGTATGTGAAGATGGGTACTCTAAGGCAGTGGTTCCCACACTTTTTGTGCCCAAGGCACACCAAAGGACAAGTCAAAATCTCAAGGCACACCTATTGTGCAAAATAGCCCTTATAACACGTGTTATCACTCATATCATGTAAAATATCTGTAAATGTGCATAATTATTTACTAATGCCAAATAAAATGTGACAAAGACAACTATATTACTCATGAAATATTTATTAACGAAATATTTCAGAAATGTATTTGAAACTTTATCAAATTAGGCTTCATCAAAGCAGCAACACACTCATTTAAACCAGACAGGTCACAACATTAAAAATGAGGCAAAGGAAACTCAGCAGAAATTCAGCACAGAGAACTGTCAATGCAAGGAAGCTGCATTGTCCATGGTCCTGAACTACAAATTATAAATGTAACATTTCAGCAATCAGCATTGAAACATGTGCTATTGTAAATATTTTTGCTGACTTACAAATTAGTGAGATGCATGTGCCTGTCGGGGCGCGCAGAATGTTTTAATCCTTGGTGGCACTGAGGAGAGGGCCACTCGCAAGTCCTGTTCAACAGAGAGCCGTGACCTCCTGTTGTTCTTCATGTAAATCAGAGTAGAGAACGCCAACTCCAGAGATGGGGTCGTTACTAAAAAAATGTAATATATTACATATTATTTAAAAAAAAAGAAGTAATATATTACACTACTTTGTTACTATCTACATAAAGTAACTTGTTACTTTACTCGCCGAGCACGTAAGAACTGCGCATGCGTGAGTGGCAATAACTTTTCTTACCAGAAGGCGGCGGTAGTGTGTATTTGTCATTCAAAATAGGCAACAACCGGAAGACAGAGAAGAAGAACAGACAAACAACAAATAGCGTGTGCGGTAGCTTCACCTTAGCATGTGTTCTTTGCAGGTGTGTGTTGAGGTTTGACCACGTGGTGTTTCCAGCAGTGGATAACAGCTTCTGGCCTGGACACAGTTTGCACCTCACCGTCACATTCCTGTCTATTCTTCGGACGAACTCAAAATAATGGGCATACCTCCACCCCTCGAAAGTTATCGCTGACTCAGCCATGTTTATGCAGCACTGCACGTGGAGATGTGGACGCACAAGTCGCGCAGATTACGTACATATAAACCTACAAAGTACTGATATAGTAAATTAAAAAATAATTATTTTTGTGTAGTTGTATATTGCAATAATAACGTATGGTTGTCACAAAATCCCATGGCACACCCGGACTTGCCTCACGGCACACCAGTGTGCCGCGGCACACCGTTTTGGGAACCACTGCTCTAACGCATTAAGGTGATTTTATTTTGGGATGCACACAATGCTGTTGGCAATAGATTTCTGACTATGCCATATTAGTTTAACGATTGTGAGACATGACGCATGAACTTTGTTTGACTCTGCATGATCCCTGCATGGCTTGATGACTATGTAGCTTGATTTCTAACATTGCTGATTCTTTTTGACAGGAGAAAGTTTGTTTTTTCCCCTTTGTTTTAGGTGTTCCTGACGATGAGTCATAGGACTTTGAAATAAGATTGTATGTGAAGATGGGTACTCTAAGGTATCTTATTTGGGAAACATGGTCTCTATGGTTTGGAGGATCATCATTGTCTATCTCATATGAAAATATGGAACTTTTTGTGGCATAATTTTTATTTTAAAGCTTATTTTACAGATTCAGATTTTTGTACAAATAAAATCAACTCGTGAATTATTTGGTATTTCAACAAAACATAAACTACCAAGCAGCATAGCCAATAATGTTATTACAAATAGCTCCAACTTTATCAGCTTGAATATTAAGGTGATGAACAAATTGATAAATACATAATTATAACATAAATATGATTTATTAATAAATGATTACTTTTAAATTTGGTATTTATATGTTAACACTGCAAAAAGTATAATTATTTGTAATATTTGTATTCTTTCTATATCCCTGATAATCTTCAAAACCCTTTATGGTTCTTTGAAGGCTCTATCCAGACTATCTTCTGGTTATTTTCTGCATCAATCCCTATTATCTCTTACAACAACAACAAACAACATCTTGGACATAACCGCAAGACTGTAACCTCTTCACATTCTGTTGAGATTGTGAGTCAATTACCAGCCATGTTTTACACATTGCTGTTTTGAATCATTAATATGTGGATGACAGTTGAACTGGATGATGTAACATTTATGCCATCTGCTGGAAAGAAGACGTATCGCTCTGTTGGCGTCGTTTGGACAACAAAAACAGAGTGAAGCTCTCATACCATAAACAATCTTTGAGTCCAGACACCGTCCTGCAGAGAGCACACAGCCCAACAGCACGTTTTTGGTCTAGCGTCATTTTACAAAATGTTTGCATTAAGACACTAAGACAAGCTGGTCCATTGTAAAGGTCAGTCCACCTTAAATGAGCAGTGGGTGATCAGCAGGTAAAAGGCAGGACACGGGAACTTGGTCCTGAGGAGATGTAACGATTATTAAACAAGAAAGAGTCGAGTCAAGAGGTCAAAGAAATGAACATTGGTGATTATTAGTGAATCTGTTGCAGATGGGTGAAAACAGGCTTAGGGAGTAACGCATGTAATGGCATTAGGTCATCAGGACACACAATAGACAAATGTATTCCCTTACAGTTACAGAAGCAAAAAAAATCCGATAACCGGTACATTTATGTAAAACAGGGCTCATTAACCTGTTAAACCCCGAGCCTGTTTTTCAGGTTTCAGGCTCGAAATGACATTCCCAGAACAAATGACTATAACTTCACTTCTAAAAGGTTTATATGAATAATTGTTGTTATCAAAGCAAGGTTACATCTGTGTGTTGGATGTAGAAGTGTCAGAATCAATATAGATTTTTCTGTGTCAGAGTAAATTCAGATGGAACATAGCAAAAAAATGTAAATTCCTGTCTCCGCCTAAAGAAAACCCATTACTTATAGTGAAGACCAACCTTGAATGATGGGTTAGTAGCCTAAAAGCTTTAGGAATCCAAAGTACCCTGTACCCTGTATCAGGGTTTCCGTTAGCCGGTAATTACCGGTTTTTAGCTGGTAAAATTTATTAAAAACCGGTAAATTCAAAAACTGCCGGTCAAAATGTCTGGTATTAATTAGGGATGCTCCGATAGATCGGCCGCCGGTCATTATCGGCCGATATTCACTATTAATAGTTTGATCGATGCTCTCTATAAAGCCCGATCAGGAGAGCTGGATCTGATCGATATGGACATAAACGCGAGTGAAGTATAACCGGACGCGAGAGAGATCAGATCAGCTGCTGAGTCTGACAGAGACAAGCAGCTCTGCATAATCACCTGAAGCCCCGCCCACTGTTTAGCGAGCTGCAGGAGAAACTGACGGGCTGTCAGGAGAGAGAGGGAGGGAGAGGGGAAAAGAGAGCATCCGTTTCTCCCGTGTTATTATTCAAAGTTAATGTAAACTTTTGAATAATGTACTTCATCTACTACAAGTAGTTTGTTTGAATGTAATAATTATGTTGTTTGTGGAATCATTTACTGAAAAATGAATATGAATTTTTTCGATCTGTTACGATTATAGACTGAAGCAATATAAAAATGAGCCCCGTGAACTGAGTTTTAAACTGAAGCATATCTGCTCATAGTCCGGTAATTACCTGCTAACGGAAACTCTGCTACAAAACTCTTTATTATTATTATTGAAATATGACCGGTAAGTTTCAAATTTGTCGGGTAAAATAAATTCTGCCCGGACATTTGACCGGCGAGAAAAAATCCTAGCGGAAACCCTGCCCTGTATCAAGATTGAGGCAAAACAAGTGACATTTGACCTTTTTAGAGAGGTTTATGAAAATAAAGTCCAGGCGGAATAAGCTTTGGGCACATTTGGTTCCATCAGTGCCATTTGACCTTTTTCAGGTACCAGACTATAAAAATCATTGTATTACATTGAATCATCACTATAGGTATTCATTCCACCCAAAACAAAAAATAAATAAAAATGTTTGTGTGTGTGAGTGTGTGTACTAAGTGTGTGTAAATGTAGGTGTGTGTGTGTATGTGTAGGTGTGTATGTGTAAGTGTAGCTGTGTGGGTATGTGTAGGTGTGTGTAGCTGTGTGGGTATGTGTAGGTGTGTGTAGCTGTGTGGGTACGTGTAGGTGTGTGTGTAGCTGTGTGTATGTAACTGTACCAACGCACTATACAATAAAACCACACTGTAGGTCATTGTGTGTAGGTGTACTTGCACAATAAAAAAAAACAGAAACATAGTTAACATTTGACTCCAACTGGGGCAGATTTATTTCAAACATTTTACCAACACACTATAGGCATGTAAAAACAAACATTTTACCAATGTACTATACAATAAAACCACACTGTAGGTTTGTAAAAACAACAAATATTTTACCAACACACTATACAATAAAATCACACTAGGTATATAAAAACAACACGTATTTTTTTTTAAATAAACACTCGCAAAACGTTATACCTACCTGAACGTTATACCTACCTGAATGTTCCAGTATTTAGGTCGTGCCACTCCCTGAAACAGTTCTTTTTGACAGTGAAGCACAGAGGGACCTGGCACTTCCTGCAGTACACAGGTGTCTTCACCCTTTTGAGTCCAGCATCTAGGCACCTGCTGCAGTTCTTCCTGACCTTGGTGGCATCTTCCCCATAATACTCGGGCATGCATGTGAGTGGTGGAGGAGGGGGTGGGGGGGGGGTGGTGGAGGTGCAGGGCCTTCAGCAAACTCCAACAATTCTGCAGCAAGCTGCTCCCTGAAAGTCTTCTGGGTGTGTGGCTTTGTCCTGCTGGGGTCACTCCTCATCTAACAAATGTGGAAAAACAAAGAGATTAAATTAATTCACTGGCTTATACTTATAGGATAATATTGGACTATAAATGAATAATATTACACCAAATAAATAAGTAAACACATGTATATTCATTCACTGGCCATTCATTTAGAAAATGTAACTCCAAAAAGACAAGTAACACTATTTAGCATTTTGCCTAACCATTCCTGTAGCTTCTTGGCTAAGCTAGCACTGTGACGCAGTTCCACCAAACACATAAGTAATATATAAAAACAGAGAGATTACATACCTTTCCCGTGGTGGAAGTTCAACATCCGAGTCACTACTGTCCGGATCCAGGTCTGGCTGGAGGAGATCTTCATCATCCGACGAAGAGTCATCTGGTATGAGCTATCGTCAGCTAGCATCTCTAGCACCTGCTCGGTGGTGAAGCTCTCCCTTCTGGCTGCGTAATGCGTAATGGAGCCGGAGCGGGCGTAGTTTATACTACGCAGGATCATATCTTTGGAACCCATTGGTCGATTTGGGTGATTGACACCTTTTCTGAACCGTTAGAGCCAAAATAATCGAGTGACAGTTAGTAAGTCCTGCTAAACACTTACGTCAAGTAGAGAGAGGATTGCGTAAACAGCACGTGAGACAGCATTAGCTCGGGACTGCGAAACTTTATACCTACTCTGCTGCCATGAATGTAATGATAGATTATCAGGAACAATTCTAAAGTGACTAATAGACATTGGATTAACCTTAAGAAGCGTTTTTATTCCCTTGAACACGAGCTTTGATCACAAAATAGCAACGGTAAGACATAATTATTGTTATGGTTTTGAAAACTGTTGTTTTTTTTCTTCTCTGTTCTGGTTGATATCTCAGTGAGTTTGTGTCCTACAGTGATGATACTTATAACAAAATAATCTGTGGAGTATCAGCTTTCAGATAATATGTAGTTTGTGCAGGAAATATTAAGTTTTAAAGATCGTTTTTGCTTGTTAGCACCGGAAGTAGCATCTGCCCGTTTTAGCTAAGGGCTAATGCTAACGCTTCTTGTGAGACTTGTGTTTTGTTTCAGTAAAAATGGTTCGTATAGTCAGTTAGCTGAGATTATTCTCGTTAATCTGGTATAACACATTAATAGGTTTTTAAATATTAAGATGCCCTGAGACACAGTGTCGTGAAAAAAAAAACCAGGGTCCCCGCCGGCGGGGACCTTCGGGCTTAACAGGTTAACAGGATAGCAATGATACAACACATTTAGAAATAAAGAACAATACATCAAATCATCCTATACCTCTATATGGAAACTTGGAGCCCTCAATCCAAATAAAATGGTTCATCAACAGTCAGTGGTTAACGTATACATCAGAATGACAAAAACATTAAACATATTGTCCACTTATGTTGATAAAGATGGAGTTCATTTAAGTCTTATATGGATGTTGTACAACAATGTTAATCCAGTCAGACAGATTTCTCTCATGTATGAACTGTCATAAGACTTATTCATTGTCCTCTCCATCAGCTTCTGTTTCCATGTGTTCAGCTGAGCTGCTGAATGGAGGCTCTGCCTCTCCGTTATCCTCAGTTTGAATTTCATTAAGCTGTGAGGACTGACGACCAACACACTTGTGCCATTGGAAATGATTACGGCATTTACATCTTTTGTCACAAACATTGCAGCTGTATATTTCCTCTCCTGTGTGGACTCTCATGTGTGTCTTTAAACTTTCACTCCGTGAAAAAGCTTTCTTACAGACTGAGCAGATGTGTGCTTTCTCTCCTGTGTGGATTCTCATGTGTGTCTTTAAACTTTCACTCCGTGAAAAAGCTTTCTTACAGACTGAGCAGATGTGTGGTTTCTCTCCTGTGTGGACTCTCATGTGTTCCTTTAAATTTCCACTCCGTGAAAAAGCTTTCTTACAGACTGAGCAGCTATTTGCTTTCTCTCCTGTGTGGGCTCTCATGTGTGTCTTTAAACTTCCACTGTGTGAAAGAGTTCTCTCACAAACTGAGCAGCGAAAAGATTTCTCTCCTGTGTGGATTATCATGTGTTGATTTAGATCTCTTCTATGTCTAAAACCTTTCTTACAGACTGAGCAGCTGAATGGTTTCTCTCCTGTGTGGACTGTCATGTGTGTCTTTAAACTTCCACACTGTGAAAAAGCTTTCTTACAGACTGAGCAGCGAAAGGGTTTCTCTCCTGTGTGGATTCTCATGTGTCGATTTAGGTCTTGTCTATCTCTAAAAGCTTTATTACAGACTGAGCAGCTGAATGGTTTCTTTTCAGCACTACGTCGGGGATCACTGACAGATTCTTGTCTATTTTTCAGTGAGTTTGAGCCTGAGGCAGGTTCTCTGGTCTCCTTCCAATCAGCACTGTGTTCAGCGTCAGGTTCAGAAGAGTCATCAGTGTCTTCAGAAGAGTCTCCAGTGTGGTCCTCAGTCTTTGGTTGTAAACTGCTCTCTGGATCTGAGTTCCTGGCTGGTTCTGGTCCTCGACAGTCCTCTCCATCAGCTTCTGTTTCCATGTGTTCAGTTTGTCTTTGATGAGGCCGTGAGGACTGAGGTCTCTCTTTATCATCTTCACTCTTCACAGGGTCAGGAGTGAAAGTGGACTTGGTGATATCAGCCTCCTCCAGCTCCTGAAGCTGCTCTCCCTCCTGACTGATCCTGAGTTCCTCCTGTTCCTGCTTAATGTGTGGGGGTTGCTCTGGGTCATCCTGGTCCAGACTGGTGCTCCACTCCTGCTGGTCAGGGAGAGGCTCTTCTTTAACCACCACCAGCTGCTGGACATCTGCAGGAAACAGGAAACACACTGTTATATCAGTCTTGGACCTAGTCAATATAATTAGGTATGTTATTGAATTACAGTTTCCAGAGAACAGAGGCCCATCGTCTCTTCCGCAATTATTAGGGGTGAGCGGAAGTGCAAAGAGACCCTCCTCCGGATAATACAGTTAAGTCTTGTTAGTTAGGTGGTTCATACATGCATAAAAACCTTCATAACACACAAGGGGACGTGTAATAACCGGAAAAGCATGACATGGGCCCTTTAAAATGATTAGGTGTATCATAAATACTGCCCCAAACTCTTTACCCCAAGGTCTTACCCCAACCATAACCCCAGAGACGACTTACGAATCTCCCGGCGCATAGGAAGGTCCGAGGTCTTTGAGCACGGTCTCGTTTGAACCGGCTCAGAGAGTACATGTCGTTTGACCCCTCTGTTTTACCTAATGCACTGTTTTCATTCATGCACGTGGTTCTCTCTCTGTAAGCTCTGTCCCTCAGAGCTGAGTTTTTGCTCTCGGTAAGGTTCTCTCAAACTTGGTAAATATCTCTCAAATGTCTTGGTTGAATGCTGAGTGAATTACTTTGTTGAATGAGTGGAATTAATTGAGATGTGTTTGTGAGTATTAGTAACCGCCACCTATGAGGATCTTCCTCCGAATACCTGCAGGAGATAGGTATGTGTTTGTGAATGTTAGTACCCGCCATCTGTGTCGGAAAAAAGGAATGGAATTGATGTGAATTGATTTGGTGAATGAAAAGTTGAATGTGCTTTTTATTATCACTGGTCTTTATGAGGAAATGCCTCTAAATTCTATCGGGAGATTTAAAAATCACAACTGAATTGGGCAGTTGAAAGTACAATTTTGGTAATAAATGTAAAACTGTGAATAAAAGTTTCATATTTGAAGATGATCACAGCATGATAGGTTTAGTATGAGTATAATGTTGTAAAGAGAGAAGATAAAAACCCTGTATTAGTTTGGACCTATTTTTCTTCAAATAAACTGATCCCACCTTTTGGACTGGGACAACTTAAAAGACATCTGCGCCCTCCTCTCCTGCTTCAAAGGTAAGATTGCACCCTGCCACACTCACGATTAGGTAGGACCACACCTCATTTACTGAGATCAAAATCCTTCGGGATCGCTTAAACACATTTAGAGAGTCGTCTGAATTGAAACAGCAGTTAATTGAACCTGGTTCTTCCTAGAGGTGAAATCTTGCTGACGTTGGTGGATCTGAGCCAAGCAGTACACTTACATAGACTCAATAACTTCGGTTAGTTTAATTAGTAGGTCTGAGTAATTCGCCGGAATAAATTATCAGGTCCGCACCAACCCTGTCAGTGTTTTATTTATGATGTTTCTTGATTATTTTGTATGTTGCATTTTACTGCTGTAAATGTTTAAAGTTGCACTTGTATAGATGATTATACCGTAGATGAGGGAACCTGCTAAATATTAAAATGAGTGTTTTTTTTATACACAGTACCAGTCAAAAGTTTGGACACAGCTTCTCATTCAATGGTTTTTGTTTATTTTTAATTTGTTTCTACTTTGTAGATTAATACTGAAGACATTAAAACTATGAAAGAACACATATAGAATTATCTAGTTAACAAAAAAGTGTGATTTTTATTCTAGATTCTTAGAAGCAGCCCCCTTTTGCTTTGATGACAGCTTTGCACACAGCTAGTGCAATTAATATATATAGATTTTTCTGTGTCAGAGTAAATTCAGATGGAACATAGCAAAAAAATGTAAATTCCTGTCTCCGCCTAAAGAAAACCCATTACTTATAGTGAAGACCAACCTTGAATGATGGGTTAGTAGCCTAAAAGCTTTAGGAATCCAAAGTATAACATAAAATAAGTATAATAAGTACCCTGTGTCAAGATTGAGGCAAAACAAGTGACATTTGCCCTTTTTAGAGAGGTTTATGAAAATAAAGTCCAGGCGGAATAAGCTTTGGGCACATTTGGGCACATTTGGTTCCATCAGTGCCATTTGACCTTTTTCAGGTACCAGACTATAGAAATTATTGTATTACATTGAATAATCACTATAGGTATTCATACCACCCAAAAAAAAAAAAAAAAAAAAAAAAAAAAAAAAAAATGTAAATATATTTTTGTGTGTGTGAGTTTGTGTACTAGGTGTGTGTAAGTGTAGGTGTGTGTGTGTGTGTGTAGGTGTGTATGTGTAAGTGTAAGTGTAGCTGTGTGGGTACTGTATGTGTAGGTGTGTGTGTAGGTGTGTGTAGGTGTGTATGTGTAGCTGTGTGGGTATGTGTAGGTGTGTGTAGCTGTGTGGGTATGTGTAAGTGTGTATGTGTAAGTGTAGCTGTGTGTATGTAACTGTACCAACGCACTATACAATAAAACCACACTGTAGGTCATTGTGTGTAGGTGTACTTGCACAATAAAAAAACCCAGAAACATAGGTAACATTTGGCTCCAACTGGGGCAGATTTATTTCAAACATTTTACCAACACACTATAGGCATGTAAAAACAAACATTTTACCAATGTACTATACAATAAAACCACACTGTAGGTTTGTAAAAACAACAAATATTTTACCAACACACTATACAATAAAATCACACTAGGTATATAAAAACAACACGTATTTTTTTCTTCAAATAAACACTCGCAAAACGTTATACCTACCTGAACTTTATACCTACCTGAATGTTCCAGTATTTAGGTCGTGCCACTCCCTGAAACAGTTCTTTTTGACAGTGAAGCACAGAGGGACCTGGCACTTCCTGCAGTACACAGGTGTCTTCACCCTTTTGAGTCCAGCATCTAGGCACCTGCTGCAGTTCTTCCTGACCTTGGTGGCATCTTCCCCATAATACTCGGACATGCATGTGAGTGGTGGAGGAGGGGGTGGGGGTGGTGGAGGTGCAGGGCCTTCAGCAGGGCCTTCAGCAAACTCCAACAATTCTGCAGCAAGCTGCTCCCTGAAAGTCTTCTGGGTGTGTGGCTTTGTCCTGCTGGGGTCACTCCTCATCTAACAAATGTGGAAAAACAAAGAGATTAGATTAATTCACTGGCTTATACTTATAGGATCATATTGGACTATAAATGAATAATATTACACCAAATAAATAAGTAAACACATGTATATTCATTCACTGGCCATTCATTTAGAAAATGTAACTCCAAAAAGACAAGTAACACTATTTAGCATTGTGCCTAATCATTCCTGTAGCTTCTTGGCTAAGCTAGCACTGTGACGCAGTTCCACCAAACACATAAGTAATATATAAAAACAGAGAGATTACATTAATTTCCCGTGGTGGAAGTTCAACATCTGAGTCACGACTGTCCGGATCCAGGTCTGGCTGGAGGAGATCTTCATCATCCGACGACGAGTCATCTGGTATGAGCTATCGTCAGCTAGCATCTCTAGCACCTGCTCGGTGGTGAAGCTCTCCCTTCTGGCTGCGTAATGCGTAATGGAGCCGGAGCGGGCGTAGTTTATACTACGCAGGATCATATCTTTGGAACCCATTGGTCGATTTTGGTGATTGACACCTTTTCTGAACCGTTAGAGCCAATATAATCGAGTGACAGTTAGTAAGTCCCGCTAAATACTTACGTCAAGTAGAGAGAGGTTTGCGTAAACAGCACGTGAGACAGCATTAGCTCGGGACTGCGAAACTTTTTACCTACTCTGCTGCCATGAATGTAATGATAGATTATCACAATTCTCAATTCTACACAAATCACAATTCTAAAGTGACTAATAGACATTGGATTAACCTTAAGCAGCGTTTTTATTCCCTTGAACACGAGCTTTGATCACAAAACAGCAACGGTAAGACATCATTATTGTTATGGTTTTGAAAACAGTTGTTTTTTTTCTTCTCTGTTCTGGCTGATATCTCAGTGAGTTTGTGTCCTACAGTGATGATACTTATAACAAAATAATCTGTGGAGTATCAGCTTTCAGATGATATGTAGTTTGTGCAGGGGGGGACCTGGCACTTCCTGCAGTACACAGGTGTCTTCACCCTTTTGAGTCCAGCATCTAGGCACCTGCTGCAGTTCTTCCTGACCTTGGTGGCATCTTCCCCATAATACTCGGACATGCATGTGAGTGGTGGAGGAGGGGGTGGGGGTGGTGGAGGTGCAGGGCCTTCAGCAGGGCCTTCAGCAAACTCCAACAATTCTGCAGCAAGCTGCTCCCTGAAAGTCTTCTGGGTGTGTGGCTTTGTCCTGCTGGGGTCACTCCTCATCTAACAAATGTGGAAAAACAAAGAGATTAGATTAATTCACTGGCTTATACTTATAGGATCATATTGGACTATAAATGAATAATATTACACCAAATAAATAAGTAAACACATGTATATTAATTCACTGGCCATTCATTTAGAAAATGTAACTCCAAAAAGACAAGTAACACTATTTAGCATTTTGCCTAATCATTCCTGTAGCTTCTTGGCTAAGCTAGCACTGTGACGCAGTTCCACCAAACACATAAGTAATATATAAAAACAGAGAGATTACATTCCTTTCCCGTGGTGGAAGTTCAACATCCGAGTCACTACTGTCCGGATCCAGGTCTGGCTGGAGGAGATCTTCATCATCCGACGACGAGTCATCTGGTATGAGCTATCGTCAGCTAGCATCTCTAGCACCTGCTCGGTGGTGAAGCTCTCCCTTCTGGCTGCGTAATGCGTAATGGAGCCGGAGCGGGCGTAGTTTATACTACGCAGGATCATATCTTTGGAACCCATTGGTCGATTTTGGTGATTGACACCTTTTCTGAACCGTTAGAGCCAATATAATCGAGTGACAGTTAGTAAGTCCCGCTAAATACTTACGTCAAGTAGAGAGAGGTTTGCGTAAACAGCACGTGAGACAGCATTAGCTCGGGACTACGAAACTTTTTACCTACTCTGCTGCCATGAATGTAATGATAGATTATCACAATTCTCAATTCTACACAAATCACAATTCTAAAGTGACTAATAGACATTGGATTAACCTTCAGCAGCGTTTTTATTCCCTTGAACACGAGCTTTGATCACAAAACAGCAACGGTAAGACATCATTATTGTTATGGTTTTGAAAACAGTTTTTTTTTTTCTTCTCTGTTCTGGCTGATATCTCAGTGAGTTTGTGTCCTACAGTGATGATACTTATAACAAAATAATCTGTGGAGTATCAGCTTTCAGATAATATGTAGTTTGTGCAGAAGATATTTAGTTTTAAAGATCATTTTTGCTTGTTAGCACCGGAAGTAGCATCTGCCCGTTTTAGCTAAGGGCTAATGCTAACGCTTCTTGTGAGACTTGTGTTTTGTTTCGGTAAAAATGGTTCGTATAGTCAGTTAGCTGAGATTGTTCTCGTTAATCTGGTATAACACATTAATAGGTTTTTAAATATTAAGATACCCTGAGACACAGTGTCGTGAAAAAAAAAAACGGGGTCCCCGCAGGCTTAACAGGTTAAATGTTAACACAGAGAGAGAGATCAATAAAACATAAGATTAATCAATATTCAGTTGCACAACAATAAATAATAATATTGGAGTACATCCCCTTGCTTCAACAGCAACCAATCGCGGAAATGCCCCAACGAGTAGCAGTTTTACACACACACACACACACACACACACACACACACACACACACACACACACACACACACACACACACACACACACACACACACACACACACACACACACACACACACACACACAC